GCCGTGATTAAACATGGGTTTCGTTTTTTAAATAAAATATCTCATGATGAAATAGAATTAATTGCTTGTTGTTTAAGGTGTTTGAAAGCTTTGTTACCTCATTTTGGTAATGAAATTTGTTCATACCTTAAACATTCAAGACTTTTACCAGAAATAGTGACAACTGATGGAACTATTAACTATACTCAATCAATTGATCAATTACAGTATCTGCTAATGGAACGTGAATGCATTTCGGGCATTTACCCAGTGACACTCGCCTTCTTAGATCTAGTAATTTGTATCTTGAGTAACATTGAACAGATCGAATTAGTCCCTGATGCAGAAAGCCCTCTAGATGTACTTCATTCATGTACATATTACGTATTGTGTGCTATTTTTGTTTCGTATGATCATTGGCGTTACAATAATTCTGTGGAGCATGTTCAAGTTGGTCGCAAATGTTTGGAAATTTTCAATAGAATTATGTTGGGATGTCCACCTGGAAATGAAATTCCTAAGCATACTGACCCTATGGTATCTACTAAAGAAAGTCCGTTACAAAATTCTCTGCGAAACAATTTTTCAAAAAGTTTTTTAAATGAAGGTGGTTTATATCATGCACTACCATTATTTTCTATAATTGAAAGAGGAAAAGAGCAGAGGCATTATGTAGAGAGAGTTTCGAACTATCAAATGTCACGGGATTCGACTGAATTGTTAGAGTTGACATTATCATTTCTTTTGAGGCTGTTAAAAACACGGATAAAAAGCGCCGAAGTCTCGTGGATGGAAGTTAGTTTGTTGGACGGATCTTCAGAAAATAATAATAGTGGATTAGTTGCAGCTATTGCATCATTTATCAAATGTACAGATAACTTGAATATCTCGATATTATCCTGCGAGTTGCTAACCTTGATTATTGCGTTGGCTATAAAATCGTTACCAAAGTGGACATCGTTGGGTAGCCTTCTTGGAAATGGCGCCGAGTCAAAAAATTTGTTAAATCTTTTCTTGCATAGGCTTAAATCAGAGATTCAAGCCCCAATTCTTCAAGTTGCCATATTAAATTTTTTTACGATTTCAACGCACGCGCATATCGGGTTAATTATTCAGGGATCTCATGCTTTCCCTGATATACTTGACCGTAAAGGCAAAAGTAAAGCCATGGACGCTAATTCTCTTGATTCTATTATTCGAATTGTTCTCGACTTCCTACAGGATTGGGAAAATCTTCAACAGGAAAAGCCGTTTTTATTACTAGCCACAATACGATTCCTTGATGTATTATGGGAAAATTCCCGAAACCCTGATAACGGT